TCTGCTATGTAATCGATCCTAACTTGGTATATCGACTGCAGTCACTTTCTCACCGACGTGGCGTGGCTTCCCTCTGTCATTTCTACAAATATTTTCATGGTAATTGCTCTGATGAGCTTTTTACTCTGGCTCCTCAACTACATGAATTCAAGCATGCTACTAGATTGGCATTTAGGCCCCATCCATTAACTTTTGAATTAGTTAAATCTAATCTTTTTCGTACTTCCCGCCCGTGGAACTCCCTTCCGTTTACCTGCTTCCCTGATAAATACAATCTGAAACTTCTTGAATCCCGTTCATCTTCTGTTCTTTCCTTAATCCTCCCTGTACTCAGGTTTTTTTCTCACTTTCACCCTCTGCGTATTAGTGGCATTCCATCCTTGTTGGTGTTAAATGATTAAAAAAGATTAGGTAATAATTGTGGCCTTGTGTCAAAACTAAACTATGCTTAGTAAATAGCAAGAAGTTTCAACGCCAATGGTATGTTTGTGGGCGAGACTTCTGGAACAAACCTCCAACTTCAATCATGGGCTACCAACACGTGATAGCCATCTGCACTCAAACTCTTTCTTCTTCTTCTTCTTTGGAAACTGGATGATTTTTATATGTTTAAATAACCTCAATTTGCAAGATACGCACACCCACGTCATTCTTACTGCTAACGGTAATGTCTACATACGACATTCAACTGAAACTCGATAGCCAGAATCTAAAGTTAACGGTTGAAAAGTTAACCATAAATGAACAGCGAGAATTATATGGGACGAGTGCGTCGATAACGACATTGAAATCGATACTTGAAGTTGATTGGTTACACTTCAGCTGAAACGAATGTTCAAGTGTCATTTGCGCAGATGTCTTTGTCACAAAATCAAGGATAACGAAAATGACAAATTCTTAACCTTATGCGACCTATTCGAGTTTTAACGAAATCTTTTCGACAAACAAGGACTATAAGTACGGATCTTTATACACGCATAGTCTGGCAAAAGGCCATAATTGTAGAGTACCCAATAAAAATCAGATTTACTACAATAGCAACAGCCTGCGAGACTAGCATCATAACCCAGTGTTTCTCAGCGTTTTTAAGCAACGGTACACCTAAGAGTAAACGAAAATATCACGGCACGCTTAGCAACATTTTTAAAGGGTATACATTTAAATTTTATTAAATAAAATCATAGATTTAAAAAATATATAGACACAAACATGAACTTACTATAATTCAATGTTTCTATTCAACTATTTGTGAAGCTTATTTAGTGTGAAACCTGTGCCTGGTGTTTTTAAGTGATTTCTTTAATGTTTGATTGAATGTGCAATAAGCAGACCCTCTTTCTTTTTCAGTTGTGTGTAGTCTTTCTTGCTTCTTATTGTTGATGTTATTTAGGGTTGAGAAGCCTAATTCAAATAAATAAGAAATAGAAAATTGCAATAAAACTGATAAAAAAACTTTTTAGTTAATGTGGAGTATTTCTTTTGTATGGAAATCCAAAATGTATCAATGGGTACTGTCAAATGTTTTATTTTGAGATCACGATCACTAGAAATGACAATAGAGCCTTTGATCACTAGAAATGTCAATAGAGCCCTCGATCAATAGAAATGACAATAGAGCCGCCGATCAATAGAAACGTCAATAGAGCATTCGATCACTAGAAATGACAATAGAGCCTTCGCTCAATAGAAATGTCAATAGAGACTTCGATCAATAGAAATATCAATAGAAACTTCGATCACTAGAAATGTCAATAGAGCCGTCGATCAATAGAAATGACAATAGAGCCTTCGATCAATAGAAATGTCAATAGAGCCTTCGATCACTAGAAGTGTCAATAGAGCCTTCGGTCATTAGAAATGCCAACAGATCCTTCGATAACTAGAAATGCCAATAGAACCCACGATCACTAGAAATGACAATAAAGCCCTCGATTACTAGAGATGCCAATAGTGCTACTGTCCTACTATTTACCCATAGAGGGGAATATATGAATTCATAGCTTTCCCAATGGTATTAGCCTCCTCACACGAGTATATACTTTAATACAAATATTTTTTAGATGAAGAATTATTATTAGATGGTTTCTCATTTTGGTTGTTATACTCATAACATTTCGGCCGTTGTATCCTCCGGGCTTCTTCAAGTACCTGTCGCTGAAACTCTAATGTTCTAGGAATTTTGAATCAAACACTTTATTTCGTCCATGGCATTATATTGTTCTCATTCCACTTTCCATGTTATGGGAAAATAACTCATTTCAGTTTATATTCCCCAGTGTTATTCACTTTTGTGTAATGTAAACTTTGTAGACTCTCCTGTTGAGATTAGGGCCACGCTAGATAGCGCTGCCGTGTTTTCCGTGGCAATTAAGTTTTACGAAGTGAATTTCCTATCACTACGTCAAACTAGTTTGGAATTCAGAGTTGGGTTTCTTCTATACTGGTTGCCAACCCAAGCTAGAGAGCCCAGTTTTATTTGCTTTTAAATGGTGTATTTCAAGGATATTTGTGCGAAACTGAATGCTACAGACTCGGCTGGGATTTGAACCCGGCATGTCAATCACCGTATTACTAAGATTCCATCATCTGATTGCAGACATTTTGTTTAAAACAGCAAAATTAGTCCACTATATTGTCCAAGAGATAAATGACCTAAAATACAATCAATCGGTGTGGTTTAGTAGAAGAAATGGATAAGTCACACAAAGGTGAATAAGGCTGAAAATTATCAAATGATATGAGTTACGTCCCCTAACTAGGGAACGTGGAATGAGAACACGCAACTCATGTGGGTTGAATAAAGGTTTCGGTTCAAAATTTCGGTTAAAAAAAGCAATGCGAACATTTTTCTTTTGAAATCGCTATTATTTTAACTACCGTCACCCATCGTCAAGGTTTATTGTTTTAAAAAGCGATGATTAGAATTTTAATAAAACTTCAACATATGAAAGTGAATTTATACATTTTCTTTGTAAGTGAGAAAATAAAAATATCAAAGACTATTTATTTATTAGATTGTTTATTGAAATACAGTGTAACCCGGATATAAGAGACCCGGATATAAGAGAGATTTTCTCTGGTCCCAAATTAGAGCCTGTGTTAATGTATGCATATAGATCAAACCCAGATATAAGAGAAACCCGGATATAAGAGACTTCTTCTCCGGTCCCGACAACTCTCTAATATCCGGGTTACATTGTACATCAGCTAATTGCCAATCGATTTGAACTTGGTAAATAAAGATTTCTTTATAGTTGGTTCACATATTTTAATAATTTAGTAAATGTTTATAAATTTATGAATAAAAAACGTTCTCTTTTATTTCTATATAAATGGGTATATGTTAAATATTGCATTGCATTAGTTTTTTTTAATAAAATTGTATTAGTTTTAGAAGGTTGTAAATACAGTGTAACCCGGATATAAGAGACCCGGATATAAGAGAAACCCTGATATAAGAGAAACCCTGATATAAGAGAGATTTTCTCTGGTCCCAAATTAGAGCCTGTGTTAATGTATATAAAATAGACCAAACCCAGATATAAGAGAAACCCGGATATGAGACTTCTTCTCCGGTCCCGACAACTCTCTTATATCCGGGTTATACTGTATAAAATTATTCCTAAAAATAAACAATCTAGTAAATAAATAGTTTTTAATATTTTTGTTATAAATTCTTAAGAACAAAAAAGGTGTAAATTCGCTTCCATGTGTCTTGATTTTGTTACAATTCTAATGATCACTTTTTAAAACGATAAACATTGCCGAGGAGTTAAGGTAGTTAAAATAATAGCGGCGTCAAGGGAAAAACCATCATTTTGACACGCCATTTTTTTTTAGCGGGCACGAAGATCCACGTTTGCCAAAATTTATAGATACTACGACATACATCCCTCTTTTGCTGACAACCATACATTCGGCTTTCTTAATAGTTACACTTTCCTTCATACATTCCATTAATATATTATTTAAAAATTATTTTAGTTTCCTTTATTAGTCATTCATCAGTACAGCGACATCTGCGTGCCGTATTTTGTTAAGACTATGTTCATCGGATCATCTCACAGTATAGGTTAAATAAATCCGGTAAGAAAATGCATCCTTTCTGTTTTGTACATTCACTGTTATATAGGAATAAAGTGTCGCTGCCGACACTGTAGTTTGAACATAGATCGCCAGTGAGCAAACACAGGCGATCCCATTATTGAATTAAGTAAGTCACGTGACCATAGAGGAAACGCATATATAGGAAGTCGCGAGGATCGTCATTTCTAGTCTATCCTCTATTACTATTCGTATCACTATTTCTAGTCTATCCTCTATTACTACTCTATGTACTATACGATTTCTCTATGCTGATCACTATACGGTGGCTACTTTTCGAGCGAGTATTATCGAGCAAGTGCTATTAGCACGAGTAATATTCGAAGGCGTCTGCCACCAGTATTGTTCAACCGCGTTACTATAGTTGTATCCGCGATTACAAAGTCTCTACTACAACGAGCATTTACGAAAGTGACAACGAGTATTCGTTGGCATCACTAAACTGATTCTCTGTTTGCATACAAGCTGTTTGTTCCCAGTAAAAGTTATGGACTACTTGATTACCTTTTCTAATCAAGCTTTTCTGATATTTCAAGTAGCTCTTCATGTCGTACCTTATCAAGTGCCTATTATATTCATATTTATTGCAATTTTTTATCTAAAGCTTTTAGCTAATTTCTTATCTCGAATTGCCGGAACAAGAAATGACCTATTATCATCATTCAATGTCCGAGATGGAATCGAAAATTCCTTGACTATACGTACTGTGATGGACATTAGTTTGCAGCTAATTAGTCAGTCTGTCAACAGTCTTCATGCTTGAATGTTGAATTATTACACGAGCTTATATAGCACTTTGTTGGAACGGCTCTGCGATCATTATGGTAGCTGACAATTTCGAGTACTGCGCTTGCATCAAATTTTGCGGGAATCTACATGATTTTGTTAATATTTCCATGTTTCATTGTAACGGCATTGGGAGAAAAACAATAAAAGCAAGTGTGAAAAACAATATCTATCTATCTATCTATCTATCTATCTATCTATCTATCAGAGCAAATGCAATCATTTCAGGCCATAATGTTCTAGGAATCTAATCGATTAGCAAACAATCAAGTCTCTTTGATTTTGTTAATATTTCCACGTTTATTGCCATCATCTTCACAACATTATCTACATAGAGAAAGTCTGAAAGCAAGTGTGAAAGACATCCTTGTAGCTAATCAATGTTTGATTAACAAATAATCAAGTCGCTTTCATTTCGTTAAAATTCCCATATTTATTACCAGTGCCTTTACATAATTTATATACAGAAATGAAGAAAAAACTTGAAAAACAGACTTGTAGCTCAACAATATTTCATTAGCAATCAAGTCACCTAGATTTTTGTCAATATTTCCATGTTTATCTTGCCAGTATAAACACAAATGTATCTATACAGAACATTATGACCTGAAATGATTGCATTTGTTCTGAACCAGATGTTAATAGATAGATAGATAGATAGATAGATAGATAGATAGATAGATAGATATGAATAAGCCTGAAACATCGATAGATCAAAATTGACATATATCCATTTGGCTTGTTTGAGAGTAATCGATACATGTACGAGGAATTTTTCAGGTGTTTATTTGCATGTATATGTAATCGGCGCTTACCTGTGTGCATTTAATCATTGTGAGCTTGTGTGTGCCCCTTTCAGTTACTGATTAAATATTGATTTTTGCTGTTCGATCCTTTTCCAAAGATGAACACGGCAGATGAATATCTTAATCTTATCTCCTAATAGAACATTACACCTGACCTGAATTTGATTACTTCCTGGCATCCATATTTCTTCATTGTAGTTATTTCAGTCAGTACTTATCTGTCTATATATCACGTTCTATATCTATCTATCTATCTATCTATCTATCTATCTATTACAGTATCTCCATTATCTTCTCTCTCTCTCTCTCTCTCTCTCTCTCTAACTACCTATCTATCTTTCTATCTATCACATTATCTTCATTATCTATCTATCACAGTCTCTTCACTATCTATCTATCTATCTATCTATCTATCTATTACAGTATCTTCATTATCTTTCTCTCTCTCTATCTACCTATCTATCTTTCTATCTATCACATTATCTTCATTATCTATCTATCTAACTATCTGTTGTAACCTAGGAAATGTTACTGAATAGAATAATCACACAAAGGATGGTAACGAACGATAATACGTAAGACACGAACAACACATATAAGATTCGCCAGCAACGCATAGAAGTAGTCAACTGCTAGAAGTCAGTCAAGTGAATTTCACAATGAATCTCCAACTGCAGACCAACATACAGTATTTACTACTGTATTTATGTGAATGGGGACATACACATTATCGTCCATAGGTATGCTACAACACTATCTATCTATCTATCTATCTATCTATCTATCTATCTATCTATCTCAGTTTCCTAATTATCTATCTACCTATAATTATACTGGTTAAAATTGATTATATTTATGGGGGAAGAGTGTTTACTATATAGAACATATGTAGATATGAGTAGGGTGGACAAAGAACTCAACACTACATGGTGACTGGCAGTTTCACGCCCGAAACGATGAACTTACGATTACTACTATGAAGCGTAAATTAACAAGTGAAATATATTGTAAGAAAAACTATAAAACTATGAATATTAAAGGCTGAAATCCCCATGAATATATATATATATATATATATATATATATATATATATATATATATATATATATATATATATATATATATATATAAAGTTGAAATCAGCACGAACATATGGTCCTTTTATTGAATAGAAAATTTATTTTGTCCATTCTATCCCAACTAAAATTAGTTCTGGGGACTATATATATATATATATATATATATATATATATATAATGGTGATAAATGGAGAAAATAAATTTTCTATTCAATAAAAAGGAACCATATTTTCATGGTGATTTCAACTTTTAGCTTGAATATATATATATATATATATATATATATATACACACACACACACATATACATATATATATATATATATATATGTGTGTGTGTGTGTGTGTGTGTGTGTGTGTGTGTGTGTGTGTGTGTGTGTGTAGTATTAATTTAATACCAATACTCGGGAGGTGTGAAAAAAGCAGATAATACAATTCGTAAATGAAAAATATATTTGAACAAACTGATATCATGGAAAAAATTCAGTAAAAAAAGAAAAGACGAAAAACATCCGTGTCGGTCGAAAATAATCAATTAACACTGCCATTCCTAGTCAAAAGAAAAAACACCGACAGAGTAAATTAAGTAAAAACGTAAAAGTGCTCAATACATTACTAAGGAGCGGGTGCAAAGGAAGAGCAACCAAGTGGAAAGCATGGCGCCGGGAAAGGATAGATAGATAGATAGATAGATAGATAGATAGATAGATAGATAGATAGATAGATAGATAAGAACGGGCCGAGATAGATAGATAGATAGATAGATAGATAGATAGATAGATAGATGTGCGAAAATAAACTGTTAGCATAGAACTTATGGTTACATCTAGCCAACTCAACTGTAAAATGAAGAGACCTCTCTGCCAATCTAGTACTGAGATTAAATTCATAAAGTCTAGGTACCATCCGAACAATTACCATAAAAGTTTTTATAGAAAAGGTACCAGCAGGAAACTTTACGGTGGTGGGAGAGTAACGGAAGCCGAGCCGCTCGATCAGGACCAATAATATTGCTGATTTTTCTGTAGACTTTATCAAGTATTTCTAAATATATAGCAGGAGCACCGGACCATATGTAGCAGTAATATTCTAAACATGGACGAATGGTAGACTTATAAATTCTAGAGAGAAAAATTATCGAGCATGTTACAGTGAAACAACTTTCTTAACAGCTGACCTAGCAATGGATTCAATATAATCTTTACACTTCATGTCATCTGGGAACAAACATGAAAATAAAATTTTAAAAAACCGCAAAAATATAATTGAAATAATTAAATAATATAGAAATAATGAGAAACATTGTTTTATTAAATATTAACAAGACAAGGCCCAAGATTGACTCAAGGTAGAGGGTTATTGAATGAGTTTGTTGTAAGGTTTGGTTGTTTTTGTTTAGCAGCATATCAACACCTCTATGGGTTATTCAATGCCGAAATCTAAATATTTTGTATACAATTTTATTTTATTTTATTTATTTTTGGGGGATAATAATGGATTTAGTGATGCAAGTTTTACTAATTAACCCATAGGTTGAAGCAGTGGATTCATACCTAATCAGTATCTGATGATCAAACAAGAAATTATAATGTGGATATAAAATGGGGATCCATTTTATATTACAATCAATATTAAAAACTGATCCCTTACTTTGTGGTCACGGTAATTTCTATACATTTATATTCCAAAGAATGTAAATAAATCTGAAATACATGCCTGTGCAACTAATCAGAATTCCATGGATTGATTCGTTTTTAACGGCTTACCAACACTATACAGTAGGTACCTCCTTGAATTCAGTATAAGTAAGCTTTAAATGATTTTTTTAAAATGAAAAGGCTTTCCTGGAGCTTTTAATTTAGCTTTAAATGAAAGCTAAAGGATTAAATTTACTGTACCTTGTAAGCAAAATACTTTGGTATATTTCAGACAGAAATTATATTGATTAGAATTTCATTTTTTTTTTAATAAAATCGATCACGTCAGCCATTTTTTAGACATTTGTAAACGAAACTTATTTTTCCGTTTTATAAATCTTGCAAAAAGAAAATATATATTTCTGAAACGTTATCTGAGGAAAATTGGCAAATTTAAAGCTAAGTTAATCTGATTTGAAACAAATATTACTCATAGCATAAAATGTTGTATACAAGCATTCCTTAACTATGGGGTCTTGTTTTTCTGACGTGTTAATTGATTTATTGACTGAGGACGGTGTTCAATAATTATCTCTGGTGTAGCAGACGACAATTTGTTGTTTTTTCTCATAAAGGGGACAACACTTAAAACACGTGACCTTTTATTAATAGATTTATCAGTTTGTACATCCATATTTCAGAAATTCTGCATCGATACATACATACACACACACACACACACACACACACACACACACACACACACACACACACACACACACATATATATATATATATAGATGTTGTGGATTCCGAGATGAAATCCGGTCTCCAACGAAAGACAAACGCAGGAATGAAATATAACAAATAAATGTATTTACAGAATAATACAATTGGTAATACGGTTAGTAGATCCAGAAACGCGGTTAGTAGCAATAATATATATATATATATATATATATATATATATATATATATATATATATATATATATATATACAGTCTGGTAAATTCAGTCTCAAGTAGGACTTTTTAGAGTCTACGTGCTTGTTAGCTGTGACTTCTACAAGCGGTTTACCTCACAAATATTACTCTACCCCCAACTCAATCACAATCTCAATCTCTCTCCCTACTCTGACTGACTCTGGGTATTTAACGGCAGCAGTCCAAGTACACACTGGTCGAGTCCACTTGTATGAAAAAGGGGTGGACCCCATAACAATATATATATATATATATATATATATATAATATATATATATATAAACAAATCGAAATTCTTTAAAAAATAGTCACGTTCATCAGATTGTAATAAGCTTTAAAGTATATGATTAGTAAATATAGTTTTACTTAATAACAAGATTCCCTAAAAATTATCCCATCGACATTGAACTTTAAAAGATTCAAAAATTTTATAAATTATTCAATTTTAAATTGTAAAAAAAAAAAGAACAAATCTTGTAAAATTCATTTTTCGTCGAAAATTTTTTCTTTAGACAATATTGTCTTTAATATATATTGTCTTTAATATATATTATTCATAAAAGCAATTGAAAGCTTCTCTAATGTAATAATGTCTCAGTTTTATTGCGTTTTTTTATTTTTCAGTTTAGAACAGATTTTCGGTAAGATGGGGTCCGATTATGCAAAATAAAATTAGTGATTTAAATACTTTCAAATATTCTGCTTTTAACTAATATAGTCACTACAAATTATCTCGATGAATTTCTGTTATGGTCCGGTTCCTTGTACCACGGTGATAGTCCAAGGTAGAACCAATAAAGAAAAACTCGAACACAGGTATGGAATAACACAGATATATTACAAACAGGAATATATACTGAGAAGTAGAAAGTGTTAGTATGAACAATCAGGTTTAGTAGAGAGAACAATGTAGTCTCAACCAGTATCACTATTCCAATGTCTTGAAGTAATTGTCTGAACGCGACTGTGTTTCGGACTGCCTCTGACTCGACTCTTCACTCGACTTAAACTACTGACACACTTGAACGACGGACTGACGATATTCAATCACACCCGCACGAGGGCGTCATGTGGCATAAGGCAGGTTTAACGTGGGATCTCCGAGTCGGTGGGCTCGGCCAAAAATATGACCATTGAACCCGTATAAACTGGTTTAGGGTCGGTTTACATCCCGAAAGAGAATCCGCACTTCGGCGTAGACTCATTAGGGTTCCTCCCTGTCCGAAGGTAGAGAGTTCAACCGATCAGCCGGTCAAGACGTGAACGACTGACTGACGATATTCAGTCACCCCCCAACGAGGGCGTCATGTGGCACAAGGCCGGTTTAACGTGGGATCTCCGAGCCCGTGGGATCGGCCAAAAATATGCCCATTTGACCCGTATAAACGGGTTTCATCCCGAAAGAGAATCCGCCCTTCGGCATAGCCTCTTTCGGATTCCTCCCTGCCCGAAGGCAAAGAGTTCAACCGATCAGACGGTCGAGATTTGAACGACTGACTGACGATATTCAGTAACCCCCTCACGAGGGCATTATGTGGCACAAAGCCGGTTTAAAAATATGCCCATTGAACCCGAATAAACGGGACAGGGCCGGTTAACCTCCCGGGACGTGACTCCGACCCTCGGCGTAGCCTCGTTCGGGTTCCTCCCCGCCCGAAGGAAGAGCGTCCAACCGAACAGTCGGTTCAGAAGTGAACGACTGACGATATTCAGTCCCCGCCCCATCACCACCACCACTGGGGCAGCATGTGACACAAGGTCGGTTATTTATTGTGTGTTCTCCGAGCCCATGGGCTCGGCCCCCAAAATATGCCCATTGAACTTGTATAAACGGGCTCAGGGCCGGTTTACCTCCCCGAACGAGACTCCGCCCCTCGGCGTAGCCTCGTTCGCGTTCCTCTCCGCCCGAAGACAGAGAGTTCAACCGAACTGTCGGTTCAGAAGTGAACGATAGACTCGTTTCCTACTCCTGAGTCGCAATATTTATTAAGTATGGAATAGTCCATTATTATTATTATTATTATTATTATTATTATTATTATGGGTAAGATCCCATAACAATTTCAGAATTTTTCAAGTAATTAAGTAAGGGAAAGAAACACACATAAAAAAATATTTTTACCAAGATTTTCTAATAGAAAATTTTCAAAAATAATTTCATTCATTTGTGAATAATTCCTGAAAGTTTCATTAAATTCCGAGGATCATTTGATTTTCCAAATTCCAAAGTCTGTGACCACAAAAAAGAGGCGAAAATTTTATATGAAAGTTTGTACAACCGCCAACGACGCAAGAAAAACAAGTTTTTTTTCACTGAAAATTTTGAATGTTCTAAAAGGGAGTAAAAAATTTAATAAAATAATAAAAAAAACTTTGATCCTTCCTCTTAATAATAACAAAGATTTTGACAATAAAACTATGTTTTCATTACGTTTGAGGCATGTTTTCTTCACAGGATGCTGACTTTTTAGCGATCTCGTGGAGGTACCTATACAGGTTATTTAAAGCCAGAAAATATTTTTATTGTAAGAAATTTTTTTACAAAAAGTAACGATTTAGTGATAGAGGTTTTATTATTTAACCCATATATGAAGGGAAGAGGTGCATTCATACATTTCTCAAGAGTATTTACGCATAAGTGAATTTAAAGAACCCAACTGGAATTGGAACTCGACTCCACAAATAACAATTCCGATTCATTATTCATTACACCACCTGCACATCCAAGCTTACAGCACCTGGTATTTTCAAGCGATCACCCATCTTAGTATTGACGCGACACCAAAAATGTTGAAGCATAATGGCTATTTTTGTAGTGATGTTATAACATACTTAGGTTATAATTTTCAAATAAATATTATTCGCTCTACTTTGTATTGAGCCCCTTTTTTTAAAGTAGTGTTTTTTGGTTACTGGAATTTTATTTCATCTAAACCAACCTTGTAATCGGATATATATATATATATATATATATATATATATATATATATATATATATATATATATTTGTATACAAGTTCCATTAAAGACGTCTGACAGCTGCGATTCAGCATTTTTATTCAATTTTCTTGGTTTTCGTATAAGTGATTTTTTTCTGCACATAAAGTATATAAAAACTTTTTGTCTGTTTAGCGGCATATCAACACCCTCATGGGTCATTTAATGCCGAAATTTAATT